TTATCGATTACATTAATCAAAAATTTAATTCCACCTCATTGGACCGAGATTTGAATGGTTTTGAAGGAATTCAGTTGCACCAAAAATGTGAGATGAGGTTGCGGCGACTATTACAAGCTCCGCGATACTTCCGGGATGAAGAGACCTAAATCACAGCTTTAAACAAACCGGCTACGAAATGCTGTGTAAATGTTTAATGTCGTATAATAATAATAATACAACACAACAAAATACATTTCTCTAGTCTAGGATATAAATTGAGGATATTCGGCTGTTGTCCCCGCCTTTGTTCAAACCTCCTTCTCATCTAATTAATAATACGTGAAAATGTGTTTGGTTTTAGAAACGGGACATTTAGGCGTCCCGAGAGAGACTTTTTCGGGACACCGGGTACGATCGTGTAAAAACGGGACAATATAGGGTCACCCTATAATAAACGCACATGTTCCCAATAAGAGCTACCAAAAGGACAAGTCTAGCCTCCAATAAGAGCTACCAAAAGTACAAGTCTAGCCTCCAATAAGAGCTACCAAAAGTACAAGTCTAGCCTCCAATAAGAGCTACCAAAAGTACAAGTCTAGCCTCCAATAAGAGCTACGAAAAGTACAAGTCTAGCCTCCAATAAGAGCTGCCAAAAGTACAAGTCTAGCCTCCAATAAGAGCTGCCAAAAGTACAAGTCTAGCCTCTGTAAGTTGTTGTTGTTTTTTTTTCCCCACTGAACTAAACCGCAACAAACATTATTAAAGCGCAACTGACGAAAGTGTGCAAACCCCAATGTTGCACAACTGGTTGCGCAAAGCGTCGCATCTCCTCCTCACCCCCATCCCTGACTACGCCTGATATGTGGCTGGGTTACTGGGCACAGGCGTTTGCAAAACGTTAATGAACTAACGCATACTAAAAAAAAACAAAAAAATGCTGTTTACGACAATGAGTGAATAAACCCGTGCAGGGCAGGTCGCTGCCGTGTCAGAGCAGATCTCTCGACAAGAGTAAATCAGTGCAGTACCCAGGCCTGACGGCCCTTAAATCTAAGACACCGGGGGGGGGGGGGGGGGGGAGGGGGGGGAGTCCGTGCGGCTACCACGTGGAATCTATTTTCAGAACCCTGTCAAGGTCTTGAATAGCAACACGTGGAAGGCGGAACAGAACACACACACACAACGTGAGATTGCGTGCAGAGTCCCGGCCGGGGGCGGAGAGTGTAGAAACTAAATCTGATGCGTGGGATGCAGTCCCAGGGGCGGAGAGTGTAGAAACTAAATCTGATGCGAGGGATGCAGTCCCGACTGAGACAATGTCTCCCAACCTGTTTTCCCGTAGAGGACAAATGTCCAACACCAACCTCTCTGGTGCCTTATGGGTAAACACTGGTTAAGACTCAACTTCATACATAAGCATACAATTGTGTACTAGGTACCAGCCAACAACCCCCACATTTGTGCAAACAATTGTGTACTGAATTCCAGCCAACAACCCCCACATATGTGCATACAATTGTGTACTGAATTCCAGCCAACAACCCCCACATATGTGCAAACAATTGTGTACTGAATTCCAGCCAACAACCCCCACATATGTGCATACAATTGTGTACTAGGTACCAGCCAACAAAACTCACATATGGGCAAACAATTATGTACTAGGTACCAGCCAACAACCCCCACATATGTGCATACAATTGTGTACTAGGTACCAGCCAACAAAACTCACATATGGGCAAACAATTATGTACTAGGTACCAGCCAACAACCCCCACATATGTGCATACAATTGTGTACTAGGTACCAGCCAACAAAACTCACATATGGGCAAACAATTGTGTACTAGGTACAGCCAACAAAACCCGCATATGGGCAAACAATTGTGTACTAGGTACAGCCAACAAAACCCGCATATGGGCAAACAATTGTGTACTAGGTACCAGCCAACAAAACCCACATATGGGCAAACAAGTGTGTACTAGGTACCAGCCAACAAAACCCACATATGGGCAAACAAGTGTGTACTAGGTACCAGCCAACAAAACCCACATATGGGCAAACAATTGTGTACTAGGTACCAGCCAACAAAACCCACATATGGGCAAACAATTGTGTACTAGGTACCAGCCAACAAAACCCGCATATGGGCAAACAATTGTGTACTAGGTACCAGCCAACAACACCCGCATATGGGCAAACAATTGAGTACTAATTTCCCACAATGCCCCACATGTCCAGATTTACGGCACCGACACAAGCCAATCACTCGAACACCTTGTTCCTTTCCATACAAACATGCCAGTACCGTCAAAACATACATATATACTATATACTATATATATATATATATATATATATATATATAGTGTACATTGAATTTCTTCACTCCATGCGTCACACGGCACAGCCTTAAATATCTCGTCAGGCCAAACTTTTTTTTAAAACAATAATTTCATACGGTCTGACATTTTTATTGCGTAGATTCCAGTTCCCCAGCCCCTGACACCTCTAGCGGGCCTGGCATACTGGTCTTCCCATCTACATCCTTTTCCCCCGCTGTTAAAATTACCCGTTTACATCCCAGAGTTCGGTCCGGTGTGCCCTTTTTTAACGGGAGATGGGTAATTACACTCACAAAGTGGCAACACGCTGGAAAATACGACGTCTGACATTTAGTGCTGCATGGAACAACACTCACGGGCGGTTTTCGTTGTTTGAATCATGGACAACGTTTCCAAGACAATGTTTTTCGTATAAAATTATGGTGTGTTTAGTGGATGGTGGATACGTGTTTACAACCCACTAGTGCACAAAGCAGAGGAGATCTTTTGGAACACCGACTGGGCACTCCATGTACGTGGCCTCGCGTGACAGCCATGATCATAACCCCTCTATGTGTGTAAGGGAAACGATGGGTGCATACGCCCTCTTAAACATACGTTGCTTAGCAGTCAAAAGCACATAAAGTAAATGGCGTCAGAATGTATGTGTGTTTGTTGGTGTGTGTTTGTTGGTGGATGTTTGTGGGTGTGTTTGTGAGTGTTTATGTGTTTGTTTGTTTGTGGGTGCGTGTTTGTGCGCTGTGTTTGTTTGTGGGTGTGTGTTTGTGGATGTGTGATTGTGGGTGTGTGTTTGTGGGTGTGTGTTTGTGGATGTGTGTTTGTGGGTGTGTGTTTGTGGCTGTATGTTTGTGGGTGTGTGTTTGTGGCTGTGTGCTTGTGGTTTTGTGTTTGTGGGTGTTTATTTTAAAATTGTTGGTTCGATAAAAAAAAATATTATATTTTCCCCGACGTATAGAAATGATGACAATTTTAAACATGTACACCTAATTTCGTTTGTACGCCATGAAATTAGGAATAAAAAATGTAATCTCAGAGTAAAACCAAAACGAATAGCGGGCAAACCTAAAAGGATGAAGTGTACTCATTGTTCTGTCACCCTCATCCACCAATAACTTCTGCCATTTCTGGGCATCGTCTTCCAATTAATCAACACATTTTTGCCATCAGTCCCAATGATTTTTTTTTTTCCTCTCCAATTTTTTTTTTTTTTTTCTTGGCATCCCCAGAAAACCACCAAATTCCAGAGGAAGTTCCCCAAGAACGCGGTGGCCACAAATATTTTGATCGGAGAGCTGACCTGTCTGAGGCGGCCACTGATGGCCCTCGTGAGGCTGAACCCGGCCCGCCACATGGGGTGGCTGTGTGAGGTCAGGCTGGCCACGCAGTTCGTCTTCATCTGCCTGGTTCCGGACCTGAAGAGCGAGAACAACTATGACGTCCGAGAAGTGGGGCGGTGCATTGGTACATTGATGATTGACCCGGTAAATTGGCGACACCTTTTTGTCTTTTATTTTGCACGTAATATAACTCTTTAAAAAATATGGGGCCCCACACATTTATTTTACAGAAGTCGCCAAATTTGTTGTAATGGTGTGACAAGGTAGGATTTCCACTTCATTTCGCATGCCATCAACGTTATGAGTCTACCTTTTAATACACATATTTTTTTTACATATCCATTCTTCTTCTTCTGGGGTCTTACAAGTGCTATTGAAAATCCCACTTCGAGTCGTTGCTAGCCGACGACCCCCTGATATGTCCTAGTGACCCCTGATATATCCTAGTGACCCTTGATATATCCTAGGAACCCCTGATATATCCTAGGGACCACTGATATATCCTAGGGACCCCTGATATACCCTCTTTCAACCTGATTAACCCCTTGTACTAAAGAAATTGCTTTCATATACATACGAATTATTTCATACTAGCTTTTTTTTTAGTGTTTAACAGTAGTTTCGTTACTTCATGGTCAAAAAAAAAAAAAGCAAAAAGGCAAGGCCCAGCACTCTGCACTTGATCTCGGAAGGTGAACGTTGCAACAGTGAACCCTGTGTGCATAAACTATTCACTACCAATCACCTTACCAGCGCCTTATTTGTTCTTCCATCACTCCCATCCCCCACCCCTCTGCCAACCCTCACAGTCCGTCTACTCCACTCTCGGAATCCAGTGGTGACCTAAAATCATCATTTATTTATTTTTTTCAATCTGGAGCAAATTACCCTTGTCGACGCGCGGGGGAGGGGGGGGGAGAGGGGGGGGGGTATTGTCCACTCAAACTTTTATAAATAGAAATACAGGCGACAACTTAAAGAGCCATCATTTTCGTCTAAATAACTACATCGTTGAACACAATTATAACACTCCAATTTAACCGAAATCTACATAGAGATTTAATCATGTTTATGACTATTATAATCATGATGAAAACTATTTTAATCGTGAAGATGAAATCTATTTTAACCATGATCAACACTATTTTAAGCATGTTCGATGGCCCCCACTACCTCCCCATGAAAGCGGTGCACCAAATCTATGCATTATTTTCACGTTATAATTTTCCTACGTTAGCTCTCTTACTTTAACTTTAGTTGGACTTTGATCTCTACGATCTCCCTACTCTCTCTCCAGATCTTCCGAGAGGTGGCCGAGCGCTGCTCGAGCAGATTCGAAATGTTGGCCGGCATCAACGAGTTCATCAGCAACCTCACCGCACTCCCGTCCTGCGTCTGGGATCCCAGCACGCGCATCGAGCCCCCGGCGAAGATCCCTTCCCAGGACTTCCGGAGGTCGACCAAGAAGGCGCTGGAGGAGAATCAGAAGCTCGTGGAGGAGGCCATCGCTGGACACGACGATGAAGACCCCCAGCTCAAGAGAACGGGGAGGTGGGTGACCCCGACGTTAGAGAGTATCGCGATCACGTGGCTTTGCTGTCACGACTTCCTGTAACAGAGAAGTCACGAGACTTTATTATTGTTATTACTTCAGCCACATGACTTTATTGTTATTTCTGTGACATGACTTTTTTTTATATCATTCTTTGAATTTATTAACGCATCATTCTCATGACGTTACTATCACATTCGTAGCAGAGCATTATTGTAACGTAAGGCACATAATATAGCATGTGGCTAGATGACATTAGCTACTATAAACCCCTAGATAAAGAAGTCCTAAAAATAAAAGAATTCCTATAGCACTAAAAGAAGTCATATAGAAGTCCTAAAGCTCTAAAAAAAAAGTCCTAACACTAAAAGAAGTCATAACACTAAAAGAAATATAACACTAAAATAAGTCATAGCTCTAAAAGAAAGCCTAGCACTAAAAGAAGTCCATACACTAAAAGAAGTCCTAACAATAAAAGAAGTCCTAATTCCTAGTCCTCTAAATTAGTTAAAAACTTAGAAAACAGCATAAATATTTTTTCGTGAGTTTCATATTTATAATTGTAATAGTTGGGGTGGGGGTGGGGGGTGTGGCTTTGGAAGGCGGTTGGGGGGGGGGTAGGTGGGGATTT